TTATTGATACAGACCATCAATAGGCTGATATCTTTACAAAACCCCTTGCTGAAGATAGATTTAAATTTATTCTGAAAAATATGAGTATGGATTTCTGTCCAGAATAAAATGTTTATCAGAAGAAAATTTCCTCAGATGGAAAGTGTTTTAACTCTTAATTATTACATCTATTTATTTATTATTTAATATTTTATTTACTATGTGCAAATTTGAACTGACAAGCCTCAGAGGATCTGAACGTTGGTTAACGTTTCATTTCTCAAAGAAGTTTCATAGGCACATGCAAGCAAACACGTGTAACTCTAAATCTGAAAAGGTGGAATACACATTACTGAAATGACGTTTGAGGTACTGTTTTTGAATATTGAGTTTCTTGTTTTCCCCCCAAATTGTCAGAATCATTAATTGCTTGAAATGATTATATTCTTTTTATTAAATGCTAAGTGTAAACATGTTGAACGTGTGACTCTATGTGTGCCCTAATTTCTTCTATAAATACCACAACACTTCACTTTTCACTCTCTCACACTCTTGTATGCATTTCTGTCTGTTTCGCTGCTTTCATCTCTCTCCCAAACCCAAAACCTTTCGTAACCCTAAATCTCTCTCAAGAATAACAATGGCTACTTCTTCATCAACTTCTGCTCAGTTTCAATCAACTATGGCTGCCGTCTCTTCTACAAATATGGGTACTGTTGCTTTCAAGGAACTAGTTATAACCCTACTCACACCAGTTGACAAACTTGAAGTATTGTGTGAATCTATTGTGAACTTTGAATCAATTGCTGAAAATGGGTTTGACCTTCGTCCCATTGTTGATGCTCAATGCTGGACAAAGTTCTTTGATAGGCTGATGGGACCAGTTTATCCATGTTTGGTGAAGGAATTTTGGATCCATGCTAACACATACCCTAAGTTCATTGTTTCATCTGTTATGGGTAAGGAAATCATCATAACTGAGGATCTGATTAGAAAGCTCATAGGTTATGAAGAAACTGATGGTGTTACAAATATGCCAGTTGGGCGTGTTGATATGACTGAAGTTTATCGTGAAGTTTTCTCATCTGGAGAAGCTTCTAACAAAGGGAAAGATCTGAATCCAAACTATAGGATTTGAGCTAAGATTTTTATGGGTTGCATTCATCACAGGAAGTCTTCAAAATCTCTTGATTATGTCAATACTGATCATATGTACTTCATGTACTGTCTGAGTCAGAGCACAAAAGTGGATCTGCCTTATCTACTTTTCAATCATCTATGGACTCACGTGAAACAATCAAGGGAAGAAGTCAGAACTAAACATCAAAAGATGAGGAATTGGATTCCAATGGGAAGACTCATTTCATACATTCTGACTGAGAATGGTCTGGTTGGACATCTGATAGAAACTGGAATAAAGGAAGAGTTAGCTTTTATGGTAGGCAAACCTCTGAATGGGAAAAGTCTTCAGAAGATGAAGGTTGTAGAAGAACTCACTTCTGCACCAAAACAAATAAACTTTGAAGAGGTCAGCAAAAGAAGGATACCTTTGGATGATTTTCCCCTGTTCTACGCAAATGAACCTAGGGAGATTATTCTAAAGTACATAGCAACGTGTCTGGCAGATGGAACTCCTCTATCAGAACATCTGATTCAGAAAGCAGGAGAACCTGAACCAGATCTTTATGGTGAAAGACAAAAGAAGAAGAGGAAAGTTTCTGAAGAAGGATCTTCAAAACCCAAGAGGAAGGCTTCTGGAGAAGCAGCTTCTGTTAAACCAAAGAAGGTCAAGAAGCAAAAAGCTAATCCTCTTGAGGCCAATTTAGATTCAATCTTGGAAACTATCAAAGAGGTACTAACATCTGATCCTCCTATCTATGAACCCATACCTTCACCCTCTCCTCCTCATGAACCAGAAACATCTGAACCTGTTCCTCCTACTCCTAAACCAAAACAACCTTCTGCACCTCAACCACACCCATCTGACAAACAACCCTCTGAAATTCCCCTACCAAAACCATAAACTACTGAACCATAACCAGAACAACCCATTCCTTCTGTTCCTCAACCAGAACAACCTAAACCTTCTGAATCATTCATATCTGATTCTGAGGTTCTTGATATTCAACCTTTGAAAATTATGTTTGACGTTTCTTCCGCATCTTGTCATTCTTATACATCATCTGATTCTACTGAATCTGATGTACCCCCAGAAGTAAACTCACCCCTTCACTCCATGGATATGAACCAAAACCAAGATCATCTGATTTTGTTTCTTTTGCTTCATTAAAATCTTTTTCATCTGATGACCTTCCCTCTAGACTCAAACTTAAAAACTTTTATCCAAAACTTCAGGATATCACTGAATCATCTGGCCAAACATCTTTTCCATCTTTCTCTCGTCCTATGTTCATTATCCCAACCTTTACAATACCACCCCCACCAGAACAACCCAAAACACCATCTCTAGAAAACTTCCTGAAACCAAAACCTAGAATGGATGTTAGTACGTTATTTGATGGCTTCAAAAAGGAACTGAACATGTGGATATCTTCTGTAAAGAAGGAGTGCTTGTCTAGTGTGAATCCAGATGCTTCTGAAGCCATTTGGAACAGATTTATCTCAAGATTCAACTTTGTAGCTTCGAATCTTCGCACCATTTGCTCTGATGATGCAAAGGTGAAATTTGCTAAAGTTATCAGACATAATCTTCTGAATATAAGTAGATCTCCAGTTCTTCCTCTGGACAATGCACCTGCTGAAGAACCTATGTCTGAAGATACTCCTCCAGAAGCGGTTGTTGCTGAAGAAACTCTTGTGCCTAATCAGTCAGCTCTGATGATTCTGGAACAAGCATCTACTTCTGTGATTCAAGAAAATGCATCTGCGTCTGTTATGGTCATTGATAGTGCTCCAGCTCCTGCATCTGCATCTGCTCCTGCTTCTTCTGAAATCAAGACAGAAAGACCAGATTTAGAAGGAAAGTTTGCTCTACTAGAAGCCAACAACAAAGAGATCAGAACATGGATGGTCAAGCAAGAACAAACCATAGATGAGATTAAAACTTGGATGACTAGACAAGAGGAATCCACTTCTCAGATTACAGATCTTCTGAAGATGATAGCCTCTCGCCAACCTTAGTTGCTTTTTCTGTTGCTTGTGCACCTGTTTGCTGTTTTTTGTTGTTGATTGTTTGTTGTTTATCTGAATATCTGTTTATCAATGAAGTTGGCTGTTTCCTTATCTGTTTTTATTTTTTCTTTTGTTATCCTTTATTTGTCTTAAAGAGTTTTTCTTTTTGATTATGACAAAAAGGGGGAGAAAAAGAAATTCTGATTGTTCAAAAATAAACAGTTACTAAAATGGAATTCAGACATAATAAATTATAACTAACATTGAATTTTAGTCTTTCAGAACTATAACATATCATCTGACAAAATTCATTGAAGTTACCCTGAGAATCCCCAAACCAGACCTTAATTCAAACCAGGTTCTGATTACCAGGCTCTAATTCTGGAAAGTAAATCAAGCTCTAATTCTGGAAAGTATATCAAGATCTGATTCTTGAAAGTATATTCTAACCATGATTCTAACCAGGCTCTTAATCTGAAAAGTATACTCATGTAAAAAGGGAAGTATTTTCTTCTATTAGAGTATTCATTTCAGGGGGAGATTCTTTATCTCAGGGGGAGTTATATATTTATCCTTTTTATTGAACAAAATTTCCTACTCTTTTGTCATCATCAAAAAGGGGGAGATTGTTAGAACACAGATTGGTGTTTAATACATCTCTATGTTTTGATGATAACACTAATGAAATTTTGTATTAAGACAATATATACTCTAATTTTTTTCTAGTGTTTTTGTTTCAGATATTAAAATAAATATTCTTATGGAAGCAAAAATGCATCTGAACATTACTCTACGTAAGCTCTGAAGCATCAGAAGCGAGTCATCAGAAGACTCTGAGCGCTGCCAGAAGAGACTCTAAAGCAGAAGCTGCAGAAGACTCTGAAGCAGAAACTGCAGAAGACTCTGAAGCATAGTTGAAGAATTTGTATGAAGAGTTTCAAGCATTGTTTCAAGAAGACTCTAAAAGTACTTTTCGCTGCAAGTACAGAGGCTTTGTTATTCAAACTCTGCTCTGATTGATATTCACGCTGAAGCACTTTGGCTGCAAAACTCTGATAACATCAAGACTCTGATGTTTATAACTTTGAGATAGAAGCTTGTTGAAGAAAATATTATTCAAAGATATATCCGTTGGCATATTCCAAACGACTCTTTCCTTATTCGTGTATGGCACAGGAAATCAGACAAAAGCGATTTGTATGAACATTCCTCTTCTGGGAAAGCTAAAGTCAATAGAAGACAAAAAGGCTACAGCTACTCTGCTACGCACAGTCTTCAAACATTGGACTTTCTTCTCTATAAAAGGATGTCTTCAACAACATTTCAAAGTTGACGATTCATCTTGACGAATTATTGAGAAATCAAATTGAAAGCTACTCTCAAGCTCTCATACAATTTATTTCATAAACTGAATAGTTTTTATTCGTTCTTAATCTAAGTGTAAAAATCACAGTTGTGATATAGCTTTTTAGAAGCATCTTAAACACTTGTTAGTTTACATTTATTTGTAAAAGGTTCCTTAAGAAGACCAAGTTGTGGTCAGGATTTCTTGAGAAGACTAAGACAGTTGTTCTTAGTGGTTGACACTGTAATTTGTTTGAATATAGTGGATTAAGTCCTTGTTGAGAAAGGAAAATCACCTTGGTAGGGTGGACTGGATTAGTTGAGTTCAACGAACCAGGATAAAAATACCGTGTTGTTTTTATTGCCATAATTTTCCAAAACCCTTATTCAACCCCCCTTCTAAGTGTTTTTCTCACCTTTAATTCATTCTTCTGGTGATATGTCTTATGGTAAGAAGAAGAATGTTTATGAGATCAAGCAATATCTTGATTGTAGATACATTTCCCTGAGTGAGGCATGTTGGAGGATTTTCTCTTATTCTATACATGGTAGGAAGCCCGCTGTGGAAAGACTATTTTTTCACATGGAAGGTGAGAATTCTGTTTACTTACAAAGACTTTGAGCAAATTGGTAATGTTCTACTCAAACCAAGTGTTACAGAATCTATGTTTACTGCATGGTTTGAAGCGAACAAAAAATATCATGAAGCTAAGTTGTTGACATATAGTGATTTTGTGACAAAATTTGTTTACCAAAAGAAAAATAGGACTTGGAAGCCTAGAAAAAAAGGGTATACAATTGGTCGTCTCATTTGGGTTCCTCAAAGCACAGGTGAATTATTTTATTTACGAATGATGCTTACTGTTAAGAAAGGACCAAAAAGTTATGAAGACATCAAAAAGGTCAATGGTTCACAACATAACTCTTTTAGAGAAGCATGTTTTGCAATGGGATTTCTACAAGATGATAGAGAATTTATTGAGGCCTTAAAGGAGGCACATAAGTGGAGTTCTGGTTTATTTCTAAGAAATATATTTGTTACGATGTTGTTATCTTCATTAATGAATAGACCTGAGCATGTTTGGAATCAAACATGACACTACTTAGCTGATGGTATTCTTTATAGTAAACATGTCATAACAAGAAATCCAGGTACACCCTATATGCATTTCAATTTCTTACTTTTATTCACAAGTTAACTGTTATATTGACACTGTATTGTTTTATCATCATTAGGATTAACAATTATCGATGAAGAATTAAAACAACTTACTCTGATTGAAATAGAAACTCAGTTACAAAAGAACAATAGAAGTCTGAAATATTTCAAGTTAATGCCATATCCAAATGACTTTGTACTTTCTTTTCTTGGAAACCGTATGATTTATGAAGAAAGGCAATATGATTCAAATGCTCAAAAAATTATTTTTGATACTTTCTTCTCATCTCTTACAGGTAAAATTACATCCGTAAACTATATATTTTTCCAACTTATTTCATGTTTAGAACTATTATATTGATAAATACAATACTTATTGTTTATAACTTATATTATTTATAGTTGATTCCCTCAACGACATTTACTGTAGTCGATGCCTAATAAAGCTTTAAATTCTCATTTTGAAACATGTTGTCACATGGCGTTTTTTTACAGATGAGCAGAAACACATTTACTTTAATGTCATGGATGTCGTAGAAAGACAAAATGGTGGTGTGTTTTTTTTATATGGCTATGGTGGAACAGGTAAAACATTTATGTGGAACACTCTCGCTGTTTCTATTCGTTATAAACATAAAATTGTATTGCCTGTGGCATCAAGTGGAATTGCAAGTCTATTGTTACCAGGTGGGAGAACAACACATTCTAGGTTTAAGATACATGTCCCTACTTTGCATTCATCAATTTGCAACATTGACAAAAAAGATGATCTTGCCGAGCTTTTAAAGATAACAGATCTTATTATATGGGATGAGACTTTGATGGCTAATAGATTTTTCTTTGAGGCTCTTGATAAATCCTTGAGAGACATTTTGATTGAAATTCCACAGACTGCAAATAAATTATTTGGAGGCAAAATAGTTATTTTTTGTGGTGATTTTAGACAAATCCTTCCCGTTGTTCCAAGAGGTAGTATATCTGATATTATTCATTCAACTATCAATGCTTCTTATATTTGGGATCAGTGCAAAGTCCTCAAACTTACAAAAAATATGCGCCTACAAAGTGGGACAACTTCAAAATAAATTGAAGAAGTTCGTATATTTTCTGAGTGGATTTTAGTAATTGGAGATGGTACCATGGGTGAGGCTAATGATGGTTATGTTGAAATTAATATTCCTGAAGAGTTTTTAATTTCAAATTTTTCACATCCTATTAAGGCTATTGTTGATAGTACCTATCCCGATCTCATTCATAACTACCATGACCCCAATTTTTTACAAAGTCGTGCTATCTTGGCTTCAACAATTGAAGTTGTCGATGAGATTAATCAATATATCACAGATCTTCTTCCAGGTACTATACTGTCGCTACTCGAAAAAATGCATCGCGCAACGACGGGGAGGCGAAAAGAAAGGACAGAAGAGTCGCCACCGAACTTTATTTATCCCATGAGGGGAAAGAAAAATATCGAGAAAACCTTAAGAAAAGAATGGATAAGATGGTCTCGCAACCATGAACGGGTTCGGAAGCCGGTTATACGAGGGGAAGGTATTAGCACCCTTCGCATCCATCGTACTCGTGGGAACCTTTTGTTTGTCGATGTGTGAATTTATCTGCTTAAATATTATGCTATAAAAGTGCTCCACAGGGTAAAAGAAGGGTTAGAAACAAGAAAGTTAGGAGGAAAGAGAGAACGGGGAAAAAGAGAAAGAACAGACTCGGTAGGACTTCGCGGTCCTAGGCCTACGTATTCTCAACTGATATGAGAAAGTCAGAGTCGACGTAGTTCGGGGAACTACAGATATAGAGGGGAAATGTGCTCGACAAGGATTGTGGCCCTTGTGCCTACGTATCTTTACTTGAAGAAGTAAAGAATCAGAGCAGCCGTAGTTCGGCCAACTACGGGTGAAAGGTGAAAAAGGGAGCTCGCCAAGACATCGCCGTCTTGTGCCTACGTATTCTCATCTGGTATGAGAAATCAGAGCAGCCGTAGTTCGTGCTAACGGTGTGTTCATGCTTTTATGGATGATGCTATCGTGCGCATTCTAGCAGTTAGGTGTTTTGCTGCTCGCTCGTTGGAGACTTAAGCGTTACCTGTTTGCGGTAGAACGGACATAACATATCCTTTTTGAAAGATTGATTAGTTTTCGCCACGCGGGGCTAGAAGTCACATTTGATTGATTGGATTGTTTTTTAGGGGGCGAGACAGATCCTCGGATAGTAACCCCTACGGGTAGTACCCAATTCGTTATCTCAAAGTTTTTGTTATAAAAGGGTGGCGAACGAGGCGTTTTCGTATTGAAAGACGAGCGTCGAAACCACCCTCACTACAGTGGGCATCCCAACACTCGAAGAAGAAGAGGTCTACACCCAATCCTCTCTCTTTAATTCAATGCAAAGAGAACTTCATTCTCTTATTAAAGGTGTTTTTGGCTTTGAATGGTAAGTGTTTTGCGACAGAGAACCCTACGGTAAACGTCAACACTCGGGATAGGAGAAGGCCTATGCCTAACCACTCCACGACCATTCAAGTTTTGTTGTGAAAATGATTCGAAAATGCACTCGGTGCAGGACCGAGTTTTTAGGTGACAATGGTTGCGGGATGAAGTCGTGAAAGCGAGATGGTGGATAAAGTCACGTCTTCGTATCGAAAGACGAGTATCGAGACCACCCTCACTACAGTGGGCATCCCATCACTCGGAGAAGAAGAGGTCTACACCCAATCTTCTCTCTTTAATTCGATACAAAGAGAAATAAAATTATAATGGTTTGAAAATGGACTCGGTACGAGACCGAGGTTTTTGAAAACACACTCGGTGCAGAGCCGAGGTTTTTAGGAGGAGAGAGAATGTCGTCTTCGTATTGAAAGACGAGTGTCAAAACCACCCTCACTACAGTGGGCATCCCAACACTCGGAGAGGAAGAAAGTCTACACTTAATCCCCTCTTTTTAATTCAATACGAAGAATTGAGTATTGAAGATGGTTTGATAGCTTCGACGAATCGAACCGGGACAAGAAACGAGGAGAGAAAAAAGGTGGTCTCAGATCCAACATTATTCATCAATAATTTGACTGGTAATGGATTACGGAAATGTCGTCATCGACCAAAAAGGCAAAAATGCCCAATAACAAAAGAGAAATAAGATCTATCTAAAATATAAAATAAACTTCTAAATAAAATGTATATATAAAAACTCTAAAATATATAATATACAATATACATTTTAAATATAAAGTAAATAATATATATATACAAAATAAAATTTTAAAAAAAAACAATATAGCATTTTTTTTTAAAAAAACTAAATAATAGTGCATTTTTTAAATAAATAAATAAAAAAAGTAAACACAGACCGTGAGGCCCAGTTCATCAACACCCAACAGAGAATCAACACAACGCTGATCCAAAACAAGAAAAAAACTTTTTCGATTCCCTTTCTCCTCTGCGTTCTCACCCTCTCCGTTCATCCACTTCAATCAACTTCCATTTTCTATCAAGAAAGATCCCTCTTCTTCACTTCCATTTGGGTTAACTCTGGTTTAATTTCATTTTGATTTTGTGATTAAGGGTTTGTTGAAGGTGAGTGACGAAGATGACTTTGAGTGAGGTTTTATGGAAATGGTTGTTCATGGAATCCGATGGGTTTTCGGTGGAGTTTAGGTTAAAGTTTTTGAAGTAATTTTAATGGAGGTCTGAGGAACGTTCGATGGTTTGAGTTTGGTAGTTTTAGGGTTTGAACAGGGTTTATTGTTTGTGTGAAGGTTCGAGGGAGGAGAATGAGGTGCGATGGAGAGCGTAGAGGTTTCTGGGCTTTGATTTCGAAATGGATTTGGGGTCTGGGTTTGAGGTTTCACGGAAGTTTTCACGGAGTTGTGAGGTTTGGGGATGTGAAGGTTGTTTGAATGATGTTCGAGCGATGGAAACTTGAAGTTTTCTGGATTGAAATTCGTGAAGCATGCTTCTGGATTTTGGTTTGTGAACGGCGGAAGTTGGAGTAATCAACATTTTGAAGCTTTGAGATTCAGTTTGTGTTGGCTGTTTGAAATTTCTGGGTAGGTTTATTGGTGAAATGAGTACGATGTTGAAGTTTGGGTATGATTTTCTGAGTATTTTCGAAGGTGAGTTGAAGTTTGTTGTTCAAAGTCGTGTTTGAAGGAAGTGTTTGGGTTGGGTTCGTGTGAGCAGAGTTGAGAGATGATGTGAGCCACAACTGGATTCTGCGTGGATTTCCATGGTGGTACAAAAATGGTGGTAGTGAGAGAGCTTTTGAGTTGTTGACAGAATCCATGGAGGTTTGATGTTCTTGAGGTGTAGTTTGTGAGAATGATTCAAGATGTGATGTGAATGTTTTATGCAAGTGGTCGTTTTATTGTGTTTTGAGGGATGGTTTTTACAGGCTGTTGTTGTTAGCAGAGTATGTTTGTTGGTCTGGTGTGGATTTGTAGCAGGGTTGGTCTGTAGCAGGCTGGTACAGCTGGTGCAGAGCTTGTCTGGCATGGCTTGTGTAGGCTGATTTTGTTGGCTATTGTGTGTAGCAAGTTTGTAGCAGACTGATAACAGGGAGCAGAGTTGTCTTCACTTGCAGGTTGTGTAGCAGAGTTTTACTTTGTGAAAAATGATGGGAATTAAGGCCTTGTTTTGTATGGTTTTGCAGGTTATGATGCAGGTATAAATTGGAGTGTTGTTGCGCTTCATTGTTGGTTTTTGAAGATTGTGGGTAGGCTGTATGTCGGCTGATGGTGATGCAGTCTGAAGATGGAGCAGACTCCCTTTTGTATACACTGCAGGAACTGGTTTTGCGGAATGGTACAGACTTGCAAACAAAATGAGGATGGTTACCGTGATGTGGTTTTGGAGTAAAGGGTTTGTACAAGCAAAACGAAAACACCGCAACAGGTTCTTTTTATCTACAAATGAAGTGACTTTTGGGTGCATCATGGCGATTACTCATTATTTACACAAAATTGGTTGTGAGGTATGATATAATGCCTTTCTGTTGTGTATGTTGGTTACATTATAATTCAAACCATGAATCGGTGCAGGCTGCCACATTGTGGCTTTTGAGAAAATCAGAATAGTGTGTGACGCATTGCGGCTGGTGGTTTTTGGTTTGATAGCTAGTTGCGATTTTGGAGGAGGAATCATAACGACATGGTTGTGAGGTTTGCGGTATTTAAGATTTCCTTGTCTCACTCCACATATAGGTCGCGTGTACCCTACTTTCTCTTGTTTTGGCGTCCTGTCTTTTATTGTTTGTGAACTCATTAAATTCGCAAATCACCAATGTTGTTGTTGCAGGTTTTGTCTGCTGTGAGTTTTTGTGCAGTAGTAGCAGAATTGTAGCATGTTGTGTTGCAGGGATTTTGGCGTGTTGAAGGCTGCAGCTGCGAAGCACTTTGCGGAAAGGAAATGGACAATATTCTTATGTAGGTTGGTGCGCGTGAGTTACAAACTTGAAAAAAGGAATGGTACAATATTGATTGCTTGTTGCTGCGTGTTGTACGGTCCGTGAATCATGGTTGTTTGCTGGTTTTATGCAGAAATTTAAAGGTTTTTTTTCTACAAGTTAATGTTGTGGTTTTTTATGGTACAAGAGGTGGTTGGTTTTGCCGCAGGCCTTTTGCTTTTTTCTTTTGTCGCGTAGCAGGGGCATGGCTCGAGTACGGTGTGTGAGGACAAGTTGATGTGTACATTGTGGGTAGGTTACTTTGCTGCAGTGTATTATGTCACTATTTTTTCATTTTTCAAGTAACACTCTTGTTTATTGCAGGCAGGAAGATAAATGAAAGGTTCTTGCTACTGTTTTGCACATGGCGCCTTGGTGTAATGTGAGATGCCTTTGAGGTAGCTAGAAGTTTGGCCCATGGAAGCTTATTTCATCCTTTTTATTGCAGGTATTGGTATACGGTACGAGCTGTTGAAAATTACATCGTGGAAGATGCGTCCAGTACGGATTTGCGAAACGGGTCCCCGGTTTGTGGAGGATTAGCAATGTTTGGCCTTACTCTTTGTCTGTGTAACAGATTTATGAAGGGCACTTTGGTAACGAAATTTAAGGGGAAAAATGTGCTGAAGTTGTG